ATATATTCTTTTCATTTATATATTTTTTTATTTTTCACTTATATCTTTATATTTTTTCATTTATATATTTATATTTTTTCATTAGTATATTTATATTTATTATATAAAGAAAATATTTAAATTCAATTTGAGTATCAACATTTTATTTTAGCTTTCGATTCATGAAAACAATGTAATAGTTTTAATTTTAGTCAACAATACAACACTGAACAAAAGAAGCCTAAGCAATATCAACCATTATGTTTTTTAACAATGACATTTTGCCAAAAGAGTTTTCCTTTTTTATAACTAGCTTTGAGCTCTATATGCTAGTGTACTCCTGAAAGTAGACCAAGTACATTTTACTACATGGATTTAAAATGCAAATGAAAACTAAACACTGAATTACTGTGTCTGTGATATATAATACAGAAATAGTAAGAGCAGTATGCTATTCCAAATTCAGTCCAAATACACTTTAATACATGCATTTAAAACGATGATGACTACTCTTTGCATAAATGCATAAATGTGCATATTCAGATCTCTGTCCTATAAAATATTAGCAGTAAACTAAAGGGTCTTTGTTATAAAGAGACAATCTCAACAGAAAAATGTCAACACTGCACTCGCCAAGCTATGTAATACTTTAACTCAAAAACAAAATAAAAATGCAAAATAAAAAACAGATTTTTTTTTTCAGAGAAAGTAACTGGATGACACAAAAATGTGTCAATTATTAAAATAATTGTGTATAATTTCATTAATACATTTGCATATTCACAATTTTTTTGATGTTGGATAGGGGTCATAAATAACATGCACTTAAACTAATAAAATAGTTCACCTTTATTAGTAAGCGTTAGATATGAGTGAGATATGCGATAAGTGAGGCATTTAATGAACCTCTCCCACCTCACTGATGGGATACCCATCATCCTCCTCCTCTTCCTCCGGCCCAATGATCTGTGTCTTCCCTCCCTGAAGAGACACAAGACCCTCAGACTGCAGGCCGAGCACAGAGCAGTGGCGTGTGTGACCGGGGTCTCGTGTGTGTCTCACCGAGTCTGAGGGGTGTGTGTCGGACCCCTGCCGGCGGAGCAGAGGGCTCCTGAGGAAGGTGCAGGGGGAGGAGAAGGGACTCTCACACACCTGAACACACAGACCGGGGCGGGGAAGCATTGGGCAGATGCGTGGGTCGTCTGAGTCTTAAGGTCCTTGCACACCGAGTCACACTAAAAATGCCTTTTTTCGTATTCGTCATCCTTTCCTATCATAATGCTTGCTACGGATGTGAAAATGCAGAACATTGAACCTGATCCAAATTTTTTTATGACGGATGAAAGTTTCAGGCAGTGTGTAAACGTGATTGACACAATGTGAGGTCGTATTTTTTTTTTTTTAAACAATGCTCTACGGAAAAATTGCCAATTGAATCGCCATTGGCTAGTAATTTTTTTAGTTTACTCGCCAGACTAATATATATATATATATATATATATATATATTTACATTTAATCATTTAGCAGACAAATGAGGACAATAGAAGCAATCAAAACTAACAAAAGAGCAACAATATATAAGTGCAAATGAC